GCTGACAGTGATGAGGCTGTGGGACTGCACCGTGCACTGACTCGCATCAGGAGAGCGATCGGGGCTGACGGTGATCACGGTGTTGTGCCACAGCCTGCCCTGGTTACTGGCCCCTATCCACCACGATAATGAAAAGTATTCTGCACTCACTGGTCGTCCGTCTCCACCGTGCCCTTACCGCGGGCCTCCCCCTGGATGGACTCCATGGCGGTGGAGTACAAGGCCTTCTGCCCGCCAGGCCGGCGCTGATCGGGGGTCACGGCCCCCTCCGCGCTCCACTCCAGGTTTCGCTCCCGCTGGGCCTGCTCCAGGTTGTGCACTCCCGCCAGCAGACTGTAATCCATGATCTTGAAGCTCTGCAGCAACTGCGGAGAGAGGAGAGCGAGTGGTCACCGCGAGGACACGGGGGGGACAGAGAGCGAGCGAGTGGTCACCGCGAGGACACGGGGGGGACAGAGAGCGAGCGAGCGGTCACCGCGAGGACACGGGGGGGACAGAGAGCGAGCGAGCGGTCACCGCGAGGACACGGGGGGGGACAGAGAGCGAGCGAGTGGTCACTGCAAGGACACGGGGGGGGGGACAGAGAGATCATTGCAAAAGGACAAGGAGCTAGGCTGAGGGACAGGGCCTCACCAGGCAGTCCCTCTGGATGGTCTTGCTCAGGGCGCTGTACATGTCGGGCTCCAGAAAGAGCCCGTCCGGGATGTCCTGGATGAAGTCCAGGTCCTTGAAGGTGGGCAGCCTCTTCTCCCGCTCCTTGGCGGAGGCGCGGCGCTTGTAGGTGGAGCCCTTCAGGTCGTACTTGAGGTGCATGCGCACGGCGCAGGGGAGGAGGTTGTTCATCACCACGATCCGGATGTTCTTCCCTCCAGCCTGGACACAGTACAGCCCGTAGAACTTGGGCAGCAGGGTCCGCTTGTTCTGGTTCAGGTTCTACAAGAAACAAGACATTAACACTGCACTGAGAGAGAGGGGTTCATACAGACACACTGACTGGACACTCCAGTACACACTGTATGTGTGTAATACAGACACTGTACTAACAGCAGGAAGCAGGAGAGGGAGACAGAGACATGGACAGAGAAACTAGCGATGAGTCAGCCAGCCTCACCATGAAGTATCCAGGCAGGAGCTTCTGCAAGAACTCGGCCTCCTTGTGCTGGACAGTCTTGATGATGAACTCGTCATCGCTGGAGACGTAGAACAGAGAACCGCTCGCTCCCGAGTTCGAGAGCTCGATCAGGGGCTCGTTGCACAGGGAGTACTGCAATCCAATGAACGGCCATGAGAACAACACCCAAGCAGCGACGGGGTAAGAGGCAGGAGGAGAGGCAGGGGGCCGGTCAGCCAGCGTCCCCCAGACTCACCAGGTAGTCGTCAGGCCGGATGCCGAACAGCTCCCGGAAATAGCGGAAGGCGATGGGGGCGTAGGTCTTGAAGCGGAAGTCACTGTAGTGATGGGCTGGGGTGAGGTTACTGCCCTCGCTGAGGCAGAGAGAGGGGTTAATACACACACACTGACTGGACACTCCAGTACATTAACACTGCACTGAGAGAGAGGGGTTCATACAGACACACTGACTGACGGGACACTCCAGTACATTAACACTGCACTGAGAGAGAGGGGTTCATACAGACAC